CCATTTAATGAGAATAGAATATTGGGCATTAACTATGTAAGATGTTAATGTCCTGAGAAATAGAACCAGAAGTACTTTGCCAGTGTGCAGAAATAGCAGCCAGCTGCAGGCAGAAGTGCAGCCACACTGGGTGCTCAGCACTGCACAGAGACTACATGCAGTCAGACAAGCAGAGGTGGCTCACAGTCATACGCCCAGGCTTGCTGAAGCAGAACTAGCCATCTTTCCTGTCTGAGCAGTGCCTGGGACATCCTGCAATCAGAAGTTTCAGCTGAGGCAGATATCCCCTGATAACCTTTTCCTAACTATTTCATCTTCTTGTAGCACTGTTCAATATTCTTACCAGCTAAAAAATATGATGTTATAGAGAATTATCTTCAAGCAAAAAAATACCTTAAAGAAACAGAAGATACAGCTTCCTTGTATATTCCATGCAATTCAACTTCAGGCCAAAGAATTACCATCAGGAAACACGTGCCACTGCTTATTTTTTTTCAGCAGTATTGTACCAAGGCTAAAACAGCAAGGAAAGGAAGTAGTTCTAATTCTTTTTAATTACAAAACTTCAAGGACTGTGCATTTTGATCTGCACACATACATATTTCATTAGCTGGTGAACTCCAAAGCAAGGAGACCTCTTGCTTCTCCCATCCAGTAATTTAATGCTCTCTTCTACCAGTGCTCAAAGCAAAGAGCTGAAAGTAAAACTGTATCTAACTGTAAAATATACTACAGCCTAAAACAATCACGCTATTGTTCTTATTGGCATATTTGCATGTGAACTTTCAAAAGGAATTAAACTTCTTCACAGTATGGCAAACCTGTGGGACCAGCCTGTGAACAAGTGCTGCCATGATTTTGCCCCATTAGGGTTGTGAAACTCTCATCACCTGCTTTCTGACCCACACAACCAAATTTTCCCTCTGATGGAGTAGTTTAGAGACTAAATAGACACGTGAATTTGTGTCATGACATCCAATTTAATCTAATCTAAGTTAATACACACCGTACGTAATTAGCTTTGTGATTCTTTTTGCACTCAGATAATCGACACCATGATAGCCTATTTCTGGGAACTGATGGGAACCTAGTTTTCTCAATTTCAAATTTTTAACCTTCTTCTAGCTATGATTTCAAGATGGCAAAGAACTGAACTAACAGACTGATCACGTTATTATAAATTCTTGAGTTACACTTACAATCCTGAACGTACAGTCATTCCATGCAACTCTCCTAGGTAAAAAGGGTGTGAGTGAGTGGGTCTTTGTTCAAACTATTTTCAGCCAAAATCAGGGGAAAGCACATGAAATTCAGCTGAGGGGAAATCACGTATAAGAAAATCTAATTATGACAAAAATATAATACATTTGAGCTGAGTTTTCCTCTGCCACATGGTCATATATTTTCTAGATTTAACACTATGCCATTAGTCTGTAGTCCATTAATACAGAATGACATTTCAAAGTACATACTATTGAGCCATTATTATCATATTCCCCAATATAAACATTTGTACATCTAAAGCCAAATGTTATATATACAGAGGACATGGACTGAGCAAAGGTTTCTGGAGCAGCAAGCATTGAACTACAAAGATCGGCTTCATCTCAGGGATGCTCTGGATTCCTTGAACACTACATGGGGCTGATTTTGCCACCAAATTTCACCCAATTTTCTTTGCAGAGACAGAAACATCCTTCTGTTACAGTACCATCACCAAGCTTTGAATTACAGCCTTTCCAGAGTAATTTTTGTGGAAAACTTTTGTAAACAGTAATTTTGCAAAAGCTAGCTGTGGCATTAAATCTGGTGTATGATACTTGCTCCATTGATGTAAACGGAAAATTTCAATCAACTTCAGAGAGAACAGGCAAGATCCTCACATTTAATTTATTGTAGAATTGACTGTAAATTGTTTACTCAGTCCACACAGACAGGCAACAGGGAAATATGGAAACATCAAAGCTGAAGCGATACTGAAAACCAATGCTCCTAAACTACCAGTTATACTTTCAAATGAGAGCTACGAAGTCTCAGGGGTTTTTTTCCACTCTTATACTCAGGCTGTTATTTTTATCTTGGCACTGTTCATTTTTGCTATTTCTTTACATCATGTTTGGTGCAATTACAGAGACAGAACTGTGTCAAGTCTCATCTGCACTCTTACTCACTAACTCTTCTTCTGGGTTTATAACTCTGCAACCTATTGAATTTTTGTTTAAAACATTCTTGAGATGCAACTCTGGAATTTTCTGTTCCTTCTACCAACCTCAGTTCAACTGCTACAGTATTTAAATGTTTCACAGTATTGCATATTCTTCCACTGGAGATTACAGCTTGGTAAACGGATACGACTCTGTGCGCCACTTTTATCATTTCCAATGCAGATGTCACCATCCGTGTTAACCATCTAGATTCCTTTAAAGTCAGAGGAAAGGCTCAGGATTTCCATTCCTGCTCTGTTCCCACCTGTGCCCCTACGCACCTGCCCAGCCAGGGCTTTCCCCGAGGGCTGGAAACACAGACCACACAGGAGAGCAGCTGACAGGAATGCAGGACAATACCGATGCTTCCAATAGCAGAAATGGAAAGCTACATTTTGATCTGAGGTCTCTGGCAGGTGTTTGACCTCAGGTCTCTCATTGCTCCAACAGGGAGCAATGCCCCTCGTTGTTTGTGCTGCACTCCCGTTTGGCTTGCTGCGAGGATGTGGTGTGATTAAGCATGTTGACATACAGAGTCAGCACGTAATTGCAGCTATTCCACATCTCCTTGTCGTTGTGGCAGAGGGTATATTTAGCCACTATGGTTATGCTCAGAAATGAAATATACAATAAGCTCTCAAAGCCTCCCCCTTCCCTAAGCATAAGCCTGTGTTTGCCTTAAAGACTGTAATATTTGGTAATCAGCTGTGCTCTGAAGCAACCACCCCCTGTGCCACCCGATGCAGACAAACGCTGAATCGCTGGAAAACACAATTCCGAGCCAGTTCTCAAATACTGCTTGTGTCATGGCATGAATTACTTTCACATCGCCCTAGGCAACTAGATCTCCTGCGTGGAAATCCTACCCGAGGTTCCGATGAAATCTCCGTGATTTTCCCCTCCGCTGCCACCACGCTCGGCCAGGAGCAGAGGCCGAACTCTCACCCCAAATACCCCCACCCAAATAGCCCCGGCTGTCCGGGAGGGGCAGGGGCTGGACGCAGCTCCACACGCCGCACACATCGCCGGAGGCAGCGGCTGCCGAGCCCACCCGGGAGGCTCGCAGTGGGGCTGCGGGCGGTGCCCGGAGCGAGGGCGGCCCCAATGGAGCACCCGGCTCGGCACGATCTCTCTCCCGACATCCGCAGCTTCCCCTGCGCTGCGACAGCTCCCCTCACAGATACACAGACATCCCATTTATTTTTCTTATCTTCCAAATAGACAACCCTCAGCTCGCTCTCCCCGCACCGCGACAGATCCCAGCGCCTTCCCCAGCCCCGGGCACTGTTAGCGGGTGACTAGCCGCCTACCTGTGCCGGTGCTCATGGCGTGCAGAGGGGCCGCACCCGCCACCCCGTTCCGCTCCGCTCCGTCGTCACCGCGCCCCCGCAGGCGGTACCGGGTCCATCCCCGCCCGCAGCGGGGCAGGCGGCTCGGCTCCGCCCCGCCGCCAGGTGCCCGCACCCCCTAAACGGCCCCGACGCGGCGGGCACCTTGGGTAGTGTAGGCAGCCCCACGGACTACATCCCCCTCCGTGCCTTGCTGCTCCTGCGGGCAGCGCTGCTGCAGCTCTTCCCCCCTCCCCGTTCCCACCTGCTGCTCTGCGCTCCACGAGTGAGGTCGTCTTCTGCATCATCCCGCCCTGCTGGTGCGCGGCTGGTGCGTTCGCCGAAGCAAGTCGGTGCGCAGGTGCTTTAGCATGTCCCCCGACGCCTGGAGAATGGAGATGAGGGTGTTTGCGCTGTTCCTCGGCTCGGCCTGCACTCCAGGCAGCGCTGCACCACAGATGTCTGGCAGCACGTCTAGTTATTAAGGAGAAAGGCAGTGCTTTCTGGAGCAGGTGAACTCTCACCCATCCCTCGTATCGGAAATGAAAAAAAGTCACAGTGGTTTATAGAAGCCAGCCTACCCAGCTGTCTAAAAATTAAGTACTATAGTTTTAGTAGAAACTATGTTTAAAAAAAATATATCAATTTTAAGAAACCTAGATAACTGCAGCTGTAATTACATAACATAGCCTTGCATAGCTCCTCTTATGTGGAGCTGAGAGTTCAGAGCAGCTCAGTGTTGCAGTGGGAGAAAGCAGGACTGTGGGTAAAGTTGCTTTGCATTCACATGAAGCAAATCTAGGATTGAGAGCACCTGGAAATAATCAGTACCACCAGGAAGGCTATGACTCTACAATAAGGATGAGACAATCTATGCTGCCTAGAGAGGTTATGGATAGCCCACTCCAGAGGTGTTAAACGCTAGATTGGATGGAGCCCTGGCAGCTCGATCTGGTGGGTGGCCTACAGCAGGGGGTTGGAACTGGAAGGGATTGAAGTTCTTTCCAACCTAAGCTATGATTCTGTGAATCCAGTGTCCTGTTTCTGACAGTTGCTAGCAGGGGCTATCAACAGAGGGGACTCCCTGAGCCAGGTGTGCATTCTTTGTGTTGAAGAACCTTGCATTTTCTTTCATTATCTTATTCAGTTGTTTGAATCCATGCACACTTTATGGCACCCACAGCATTCTGCTTAAGGAATTTCACAGTTAACTGTATTCTGGAAGTGCCACCTACTTTTTGCTCAACATGCTACTTGCTATCTTTGTTAGAAGGAACAGCAAACATACTGTTCCCTATGCACTTTCTCTGTGTCACTTGTGGGTCTGCTCTATCAGATTCCACTCTTTTAATGTATTAACTCCTCCCTTAAAACTCTTGTTTTATAACTTTAGCAGCTGCTGTCACTTCCTATCATTAATTGGGGAGCGCATCATTGACTGTTTAACAGAATGTTTTCTTTGCTGCTTTCATTACCTATTTTCCACTCTGCAGTCATCCACCACCCATTTTCCATGGAAAACTTTCTTGGGCTGCCCAGCTGTGCTGAAGCAGCTGTGTTGCTGTTAGCCTTTAAAGCTCCATTAAGTTGCAGAGTATTCGTGAATATCCATGTGTTCATATATGTTATGTATCACAGTAGTAGAAATATGTAGAGAATCTCAATTGTGGCTGTGCAGCATCCGTCTTGTCTTTGTTCTGCATTCATACTAATGAGATCTGGCTTCCAGCATCACTGCAATTTGTGTAATAATTTAATCATTAAATATCTTTGCATATAATAACCATCATGAGTTCAAGGCATTCTCAGAGTGATGCTGGTAAGCCTGTGGCTATGTGGAATTATTGCTTTGAAAGCTAAATGAGATATAACGTGCTGTATCAAAAACAGTGGATATTCAATCAGAATTGGATGTAACAAAAATAAACTGCTTTAGGGCTGCTGAAGTTTGACTCCTCCTGCACTGTTGCTCAGTAGAAAAGATACTAAAGCCTTTGCTTCCTCGTTGCAGAGAGAACACAGGTCTGTGAGAGGAATTCTGAAGTTCAAACTTATGTTAACAATCAAAATCTCAGGATAATAAGCAGTCATCTCTTGATGGCATTTTTAAAAGCAATCAGCTTGTCCAGATACTGCAAAGAAGGCTGAAAAATCAGCCTCTAAAATGTCAGCATTTTGCACCACTTTCCATCATTAGTGGAAGGTGAAATGGGATGCGACAATCCTGATGATCTGCTTTGCACCAAATCCTCAATGCCATCCTGGAGGAACACAGAAAAAAATGTATACAAAAAAGAGTTTACTTTCCTTGTATGCAATATTTTTCTGGTGTTTCTTCACTAATGTTACTCAGGGGAGTTGGAGTAGATGATCTTTAAAGATTCCTTACAACCCAAACCATTCTATGATTCTAAGAAATCATAATGCATTTTACTGTCACTGTGTACACGAACTGTATTTCTTAAATATATTCACATTTCATTCTTTTACATTAGTTCTACTGGAAAAAAATTCTCTTTCTGTTGAACCACTCCAGCTATCAGAAATGCATCTGTGGCAAATAAGGCAATATGGCTCATATTTCATTTTCCCCACTTCCAGAAAAAAGATGGATATAGTCAGGTTCTTCCTCTAAGGCATTATGTGATACTCCAGTGTGACAGAATTATGTATGGTTTCATTTAAAGGGGAAAAGCATGCACATTTAAATATGAGATAAACCAGAACAATCAAAAAAGCATACATTCGTGGATAGACACAAGCATTACACTTAGCAGCATGCATGTTCTTGTTCTCACGTGTGCTTCTGGATGTTAAGTAATAGCGCAGATTGAAGGTCTGACAAAATATGTATTCTTGCTGAAGCAGCTTGCAGTTTTGCAAGAAGCCTTTTTCAAGAATCCTAGACATTTATTTATTTTTTCCTCAAGTGAAGTTAATCACACTGCAAAGTGTTTGCCTTCATTTTCTCATTTTTATTGCTCTTAAAATTTGCAACAGTTCAATGGTTGTAATATTCAATTACTAATAATAATATTTAAATACAGTTTTGCAGCAAGATTCTTATACAATATAATTATTCAGTGTTTTTCTTGAGAAAATCCAGATGAAGCAAGCAAAAAGGTTGGTTTTTTTCATTGTTTTTTGTTATTTTATTCTTTTTTTTTTCCTGGCATTCCTCGTATTTGCAACAATGTGGAAACCATAGGCTTCCCAGTAAAATTATTTCTTTTATTTAATTTTTTTTTGTCTGCAAAGGTTTTTAGGTTATTGCCAATATAATTTGAAAGGAGCCCATTGGTGGGAACTTGCTGCTCTGCATGAGGAATGAAGCAGAATCCTTATCTCTTCAGCACAAAAAGAAAAAAAAGCTTAATTGTGAAAAACCATTACTATGGTTTAATATTTTCACACACGTTCAAGCGTCTGTTTTACCTGATGATGAAGGATGAGAAGTTGGAACTCTTGTTCACGTTCAAAGCTGATGTGGTACCAAGGGGTATTCAGGGTAGCATGGTGTGAAACCTAAAAAATAAAATAAGAACTGAGATAAGATGCCTAATTGTTAGACTTGTATTTGCTCCAAGTTGCTTTGACAACTATTGGATCTCCTGAAAGATGAAAAGCAGTCTTGCAATTTATAGTAATTTGTTTTGAAGAGCTTGTGTCTTAAGTGACAAATTATCCCTCAAATGCTTGCCATAAATTTCCAGAAATTTGTCATTTTCCCATTACTTCAAAAATAGCAATTCTTTCTATCACTGAACATGGTGTCCCACAGCCCATGAGGCCCCCCTTCTGCTTTTTGCTACCTCTCTTTTGTTTAAAGAAGCCTCCCTGAATATCTGTATGTTAAAAACATTTCTGCTTTTATTTTCAGTTTTATCTCTCAGGAATTCAGGACTGGACTGCTTTGGGTTACAGCCTCAGCTACTCTAATTGTATGTCTAATCCTCAGTTCAAGTTCCTATCCACAGAAAGAGGTTGGAACTAGATGATCTTTGAGGTCCCTTCCAACCCAAGCAATTCTATGATTCTAAGTTATGAATTGTTCACTATTTAGGCTAGCATATTCAGACTACTATATCAGGGAATTTTGGGCTCTAGGAGAGCTGCCAAAACCCGCAGGCTCATGTTTGCCATCTGTGGGTGCCTGTGGCAGTGTGTACCTCTCCATCTTGTGCCTGGGATTGTCATGTGCTGCTGTGGGCACTGATAGTAAATAAAACATAAGTCAACCTGAAGTTTCCAAAGAGTAGCAGGCTGGGATCTTGAAATGAGATTCTGGCTATGAAAATAAATGTATGGTTATTTGCTAAGCTAGATGTACACGTTTAGAAATAACGAATTAGTGTGAAGCTGCTGTAATGAAGTAATAACAGAGCACTACATAGAGTTGTCTGCACTGCAACATCAAGATGTCAGAACTTTTATGTAGAGCTCCTCTCACTGTGGGCAGAATAAAAATACTACATCAGCAGTTTTAAGTTAGAATTCAATTACCCATTGCAAACCTAAATGCATTATGATCAGTAGGTGAAATACAACTCCAAGGCAAACTTTGCAAACAGAAAGAATGGAATAACATCAAAGGGAGCAATGGCAGAGGATGAAAGAAATCTCTGTTACAACGAGACAATCAAGGACTGTTCTCTCATGTCAGCAGTTAGCTTTTGGGAAGTTGGTCAGAACAAATAAATTGTAATACGGGAGACTGCTGTGTGTGACAGGAAGTCGAGTAGGTAATGCTGGCATCACTGTGCAATTTATACATGAGAATGACAACCACATTGGTTATAGAAATAAAATGTCAGAAATATAAAAACAAAGAATGGTTTGAGGAAGAGCCAAGATTAGGCATTAACAATTGAAAAATCACAACTGCCCATGCAAAAACATTGAGGAAAATTGAACTTGAGAACAGCAAATGAAATCTGCAAGAATTCCAATGCAGCATTACACTGCTGATGTAGCCAGCAGAACCAGTCTTCCTGCCTGTAACCTCGTAAATAACTTTGCTTTCTGGAGCAAGCAAAGTGACAACCCTTATACTGCCCCCTTTGTGCCTGTTGCAGAGGGGTTAGCACTCATTAAGCATATTGTGATCTCTTGCAGATGTGACTTCTTGATCAAATTGCTGTTTATGTGAAGCTACAGCTTCTCATTCCACATGTATGACTGTACGTAAGCCCACAGGCCCTGGGACAATGTAATTCTGTACTCTGCAGGACTGGCTGATATATGCTGGCTTCCCACCATTAATCTCACATTGCATCTCTAACAGTTCTACTGTAAAAGAAACGCCGAGCCATGTTAGCAGAATTTAGGCTCTTACTGGGTGACGAAATTCTCACATAGCACCATGTGCAAGTGAGGCTTTGCCGGAGATCCATGACAGCTTACAGAAGCTTTCGCCACTCTCTGCCAGGGAATATACCTGGCCTGAAAGCATCAGCCCCCAGAAAATGCTGCTGTGACAGAACGCTTCTGTGTATTTCCCCTGCTGCAGCAGAGCTGTCGTCTGCTATCAGTATTGCTTCCCAGGTTCAGTGATACAAGCTGAAGTTCCCAGTCTTTAGGTAATGACCTACCTGAAAGACTGCTTCTTAGCTGAGGTTTGTGGATAGTGTATGCAGAGAAATCTGCAGGAAAATAAGGAAAAACAGAAGAATAATATGTATGAATTCCCAAATATGGGAAATAAATTGAATAAACATTACTGAATATAAAGTATTGACATAAGACACATACTGTATAGTTTATGTAGTGAGCCCAGAATGTGTTAACGCTTATTATAAATTTTTTTTTTAGTTGAATGAGCATAAATGTAGTTAAAATCTGTTCATAGCATTCCCCCACATAGTCATACCTTAACATAACTGTGGTCTATGATTGCACTAACAGAGACAAATAATAAGCATCTCCACCCTCAAAACTGAGAGCCTTATATTTATGTAAAGTATATTTCACTGAATCAAAAGGCCATAAAAAGAGCCATAAGGTGATTCGAAAGCTGAAATTCAAACTGGAAGCACCTCAAGTTCTGATGATTTTCAGATCCACATCAGCAAATCATATACTGTGCCTCAGATCTTCTCTATTAAGTAGAAAATCTTTACTCATATTTCACAAGATTTTTGGTGTGCTGTGTCTTTAAAGATTTCATTCTTCTTCTAGAAAATGCCGCATGAATCGTGTCAAGGTTAGACATGGAAATATCAGAAAGTGTTGGCCTTGTTATGTTTATTACCTTTGTTTTGTAATTCTGTTGTGGTGCCCTTGGCCAAATACATAAAAGAGGAAAAATGTTCCTAGGAGAAGTTGTAACTTTGGATCTCTGGACAGAGCTACAACGAATGGGCACTGTTTTGCACACAGGAGCCCTTCTTTCAGATCTCAACTAGGTGGCAGCAGTATTTTGGAAAAATCCCAAGCTTCTCTGCTGGCTTTACATGGGTGCAGAAATTTGTGGTTATATGTTAAAGTCAGAATTATCAATGTAGGATTCTCTGTTTTGGAGATCTTTCAGGGACAGGAGACATTAATTCCAAGAAGATATTACTTTGTGCTACCCTGAACAAAGGGAAAACACTCGTAGCATACCGCTAGCATTCATTCCATTGTACACAGAGGTTAACTTATGCTAAACTGCATTGCATCTCATGAGTGGCACAAAGACCATATGATAATAAATCACAGTTTTATGACTATAACTAGAATGGTGGCTCTCCATCACTCTGGGTCCTCCAGGCATTCCCTCAGGCATATTCTTTTGCAGAACATAAGCAGAGCCCAAACCAAAACTTTGTTTTCACTCAGTCCACATCAAAATATCTTTCCTCCATGCTGGATGCTTAAATCGTTATTTATTTCCTCAGTACCAAAATCTGCATTCTGTGTAAACCCAATCTCCCATAAATAAAGTTTTCTCATAATATGTTTTCTACCACCAATCAGAACCACAAACAAGGTAGCTAAAATTTTAGCACTGAAGATTTTGTCACAGAGCTATTAGAAGCCTTTTTATGCACCACGGAAATGCTTTAGCACACCAGCCAGAGAAAAAAAGGAATATTTAGAGAGAACTACAAGAAAGTTTATTAAATGTTATGCTTCTATACAAATCCTTAGAAGGGAAAAGAAACTGAAGCAGAGCAGTTATTCATTTCCACTCCTCATTCTGTTGTAATATTCATCTTTTGTTAAAATCATGTCCTTCCCTTTCACTTTAGCTTTCAGTCCTCACAACAAGCACATTCAAATACATGAAATCAGTGTATCATCACAGAGTTATTTCTTGGGTAACTATAGGACTGTATGGGAACTGCTGAGTCACGGCCTGAACCTCTGATTAATCACCTGAGGTGAGCCTTGAGTCAGCCAGAGGAGCACAGGTGAAGGCAATTCACCTGTGCTACCGGAAGGGGTGGAGCCAGGCTCCACCCCTCCTGGACCTATTTAAGAGCTGGCTACCAGAGGGGAAGGATCTCTTCTGGAGATCCTCCTCTTTTGGTATCTTCTAGTGAGCTCAACCCAAGGGTAAGCTCTTCTACTTATTCTCTTTTGCGATCCTTGTTTGCTTTTGCCTTACTCTTTTGATTATATTGCAATTATAACATCTTGGTTATACAAGGACGGTTACTTTTATTATTTTCTTTCTGCAAGAATTTACTCTTATTTCTACTAGAAAACTTCAAGCAACTGGAAAAGAAAAATGTTAAAGAAAAATCAATCCACCTGATTACAAAAGAAAGTGCCAGTTTTCCTTTCAGTTACCAACAATGCTATAAAAGGTAGCTTTGATGTTAGTGAAGATGAAGGAAGGTTTTGTAGGCTTTATATTGAAATTTGGATAGAATGAAATTGGGACAATTGTTATTTCATCTTTGTTATTCCTCTTAATACTTGGAGTTTTTTAGAAGAGTGATACTGTTGCCTCCTTATTAAAAAATTATATATGTTCTCAGTATTCTTCAGGCTTTGTTTATCTAAATAGGGCTTGTTAATTCTCTTGGTGAAGACGACATTGGGAACTGAATTAAAAAAAAAAAAGCAAAAAAACAATGCTAGCAATGACAAATTAGGAAAAGCTTATTGCCTGTACTGGAGCCTGTGGGTACAGACTTTGATGGCTTTGGTTTGGGAGCAAAAGTAAAAGCTTCCTTTGTGATTAAAAATGTTGTGAATTACAGTATGGTGTTGTGCCTGTGGGTCAGAAAATGAATCACAGTAATTCAGAAAGTAAAGGAAGGAAAAATCATGTCTTCGAAGCGGTAAAGATGAATTACTCATTTTTATTATGAGCTGATGAAGCTGTTCTAGAAGGGGCATGCAGTTTGTTGTTGCTCTGTGATTTTTTTTTTTTTTTTTTTCTCTCTCTTATATGTGGAAGCTTAAAATCCATGTCATGTCTGAAATAGACCAGGGAGTCCTAGCATGTCTTGAACTTCTGGCCTGGAATAGGAGCCTGAATGTTTTTGCTGGTAGGAGGAGCATGTTGGTTTTTTGGTCCCTGGCCAAAAATGCCCTCAGGCTGGTAGCAGTGACTCTCAGGAGTTGCTGAACTTAGGAAGAAGCTTTGTCAGGTGTGTGACAAGCTGTGGCTTGTGGCTAGGAATAGTGAGCTTAATAGCATCTATTATTAGCATGTATAATTGTAAGTACTCTGCACTGTTGTTTGGTGAGCTAGGTAAATAGCTGAGGAACAGTGCTTAAGCAGTGCAACAGCTGGATGTTTTGACTCAGCGTTTTCCTGCAGACTACAAGGCGACAGTGTTTCCTTGAAGATGGATGAAAGTATATTTTTCTTTTCATGTTTTCTGTTTTTCCTTTCCAGCCCAGCCTGTGGAGCTGGGATGGTGTTTTTTCGAAGCCTGGGGAAAGTAAAACTATTTGGTTCCAAACAGGCAGGGGAAAAGATGACAGGATTCCGGGAGAAAACACTTTAACTCCTTACCCAACTACACAGGCAGTCACCACGGAGAGATAATGCCTTAATCAAAAGGAAACATATGGCTAAACCTATTTTTATGGAAGCTTTGTGTAACTTGTGAAACATCAACACAATAACATCCATGAATATCAATAAGCCTGTTAAGTATATATATATATATGTATATATAATATACATAAATATGTATATATAAATTATTTTTGTGAGTTTGTTACTGTAGGTTCACACTGCAAACTGTACATTTCACAAGTGTGTGCTCAGCTGGTGTTTGTCTTAAGATCGTAGTTCTGGTTGCGTTACACTGTTGATTTATAGTTTGTACGTTTAGTTGTTTTTTTAAGTGAGTACACTTCAGCTGCTGGATGAAATAGAAATCGAGAGGCTGGTTTAGACAAGAAAGCAGTATCTTGCATGACTCCTAGCTTGTCATGCCACCCATATGTAGTGAAGAATACTGATCTGAGCAAAGCATTGTATAGAAGAGGATCTTTTTATTATAGGATTAAGCAAGGGAAAATAACTTCTGTGACATTTAGTGGGCTTGAGATGAAAGACTATCAGGCAGCAATTTAATAAAGCACATAGACTTTTCTGCAAGATTTGTTCTTTGCTATCAGGTAGCAGTTACTGGTTACAAATATCTTACATTTCAATGCGCTGAAGTGCTAAACTTGGTCCCTTTGGTAGAGGGCCAAAATATTCCTTTATACATGTGTCTGCAGCTGTGATGGAAGAGTAGTTATAATGGAAGGTGCAGCCTGGCCTGAATATTAAAATGTGTTGTTTTTCCCAGTGCAGGCTGCTGCAATGAAAAGCTGTTGAACAAACATGTAGCTACAGAAGGGCAGACAAACAGGATGATGAACAGCAGTGCTAGAGAGAGACAATTAGAGGAAGTCTTTTTTTTTTTTTTTTCCCCATATGCTATGTCCTCCTGGCAGCTTCTTTTAATAATCCTGAAAAGAATGGGGGCTACATGTGTAAACAGGCTCATTAGGTCAGCTTGTAATTTGAATAGTTTTAATGAAGATTCTGAAGCCTGCTCTTTCAGGTAAGGAAACCTGAGCAGGTGACACAATTCATGTGCAGCAAATCTCAGTGTGATTAAACTGCAACCTACTAGATGTGATCACTGGTACAGAAACTACCCTGATACCTTTGTCTTTTTCCTGTTTGCTATGGTATATTTATCTCCGCAGTTACTTCGTGGATCAGCCTTACATAACTTCAGTAAGGCTAATGAGTTGCTTTTCTGTAATGCGGGTTGGTCCTGTTTTTGAGAAGGCAGAAGGACAAATATTTGATAGTGTTATCCTCAAGCTGAAAACTGTGTTTTCCTGTTTCCACTTTTCTATGTGTCAGCAGACATCTCGAGTAAAATCGCAGAGGATAGCTGAAGAAGAAAGTACTGAACCTCTGTTCAGCCAAGCAAACTGCAGCTCATTTGTTGATATTTTTACGTGTTTCCTTTAAGATGATGTGTGTCTCCTGATTTCACTTTTCTAACTGTGTGATTTTTAGAGACACACAAAACAGCAGTATATGTGTACAGATTCTGCAGTGATGTCACTGTAGAAACAGAGGGCGGAAGGTTAGTATTCATTATGGGGAAAATAGTTTTCAATTCCTCCCCCCCACACACAAAAAAGTCAAGGTGATGATAGGAATAACAGTGAAGAACTGAAGTTA